TTATGGTGGATTTATGTACAAAAAGTTGAAAGGAATTTTGTTTGGATGCAAGAGATCAGCTGATATATGAAACTTACCGGCAACCGCTTTTATTGTATAGTCGCTGTGATTTTTCGCGTCAGCTCCAATTCAGCAGATGCCTGTTGTTGGGTATGAATGTTACTTCTAATCCTCCCAGCAGCTCAGCAATGACCTATGATTGTCCTCTATCCTCTATTTTCCAGATGAGGAAAATGAACCTCAGAGAATGTAAGTAACTTGGCGAAGATCACCCAGAGAGTAAAGAGCAGAGCTGGGAATTGAACTTAGGCCTGCCTCACTTCAAAACCTGTGCTTTTTCCATTAGCACATTTTTTCCAAAGGCACTTTCACAACGATTATCGCATTTGCACTGCCCAGCAAAACTGTGGAGTTGGCAGGGCCGGGAGTACTCCCTTGTCAGTACCCCCACTCGCTGCAGCATCTCCCATCAGCACACTCCAGACCCCTCTCCGGTCCTGCTGAGGGGCCCCTCCAACCCCCTTTAACAGTCTGAACCCGTAACAGGGTAAAAGACAAACACCCCCCCCCATTGCCTGATTAAGACATTCAGTGGTAAGCGCAAGCATTAAAGGATAATCTCCTATCCTATGATTTTGAGGGTGGGAGGTGGGGATGGGTGGGGCAGGGGGGAATGGTGGGGGGAATGGAGACAACTATACTTGAACAACAATAAAAAAATTTTTTTAATGCTAAAGCATAAAATTAAATTGTATCTTTTTAAAAAGATTTTGTTTATTTATTTTTAAAGAGGGGACAGGAGGGAGAGAGAGGGAGAGAAACATCCATGTGGGGTTGCATTTCGCACGTCCCCTGCTGGGGACCTGGCCTGCAATCCAGGCATGTGCCATGACTGGGAATCGAACCGCCGACCCTTTATTTTGCAGGCCGGTGCTCAGTCCACTGAGCCATAGCAGCCAGGGCTAAACTGTATCTTTAACTGACCAAAATGTACACATGCTGAGTTTTTAAGCTTTTTTCCTAGATTTTCTAATACCATCTTTCCTTCTCCCCTTTTCCCTTCCCTCCCTCCACTCTTGTTACCCCCTTGCTCTCTGTTTTTCTCCCTCTTTTTCTCTTCCACAAGCTGATGCCATCAGCTTGGACTTAGTCTGCTTTTCTGGGTGAACCAGCATTGGCAAACCCCAGAGAGTAGGGTTCCAAAAAGTAGTAGGGAGGCCCAGGTCCCTACAAAAAGTATACCCCCCAGGAGTGGGGTGATAGAAGAGACCCCCTATTCCTCTGTGAGGTTGTGATAATGGTTGCTTAAGCCCTTATCTAGGGCAGACTGCTCAGCACATCAGCAGGGTTTCAGGAAATGATTAAGAAAATCTGCCAATACTAGAAGCTATAGGAGGCCAGCCTTATAAGGAAACAAAATATAGGACCACCTGAACAGTATGATCTGAAGGACGTCAAAATTGTACCTCTGTCCCACAATATCTCTCTCCGCAGAAGGGCCTTGAAGTGGTCACAGCCCTTCAGGATATCATAGGACCATGGAAACAGCCCAAGAAAGTTTCTTTTCCAACTCTATGAGTTAATATCTCTATAAGGATACAGGTTCCCAAAGTGACAGCTGATCAAGAGGAAAGACCACCTAACTATGCACAGGCCAAGAAACAAAATGAGGTGTTTTGACTGGCTGGTGTGGCTCAGTGGATTGTGTGCCGCCCTGCGAACCAAAGGGTCGCAGGTTTGATTCCCAGGCAGGACACATGCATGGGTTGCAGGTCAGATCCCCAGTAGGGGGCGTGCGAGAGGCAACTACACATTGATGTTTCTCTCCCTCTCTTTCTCCCTCCCTTCTCCTCTCTCTAAAAATAAATAAATAATTTTTTTTAAAAAAATGAGATGGTTTGTTGAGTTGTACACGTGAAACCTGTATGGTTTTGTTGACCAAGGTCACCCTGATAAATTCAATAAAAAAAAATAAAATAAAATAAACTGAGAACATGGTAACTGTTATAAAGGGAGATAAAAGGGTGACAAATTTTGACTCCTTGAGAGTTGTACTGGGGTCGCCCCTATTTCTATTTCATAACCAGGTGCTCTGGATCTCAGCCGTATGAGTCAGGAAAATTCTTGGAAAGTTTTGCAACTTCTAAAGGAATGGGGAGCTCACGCTGTCCCCGAGCTGGACGACATTGACAGCAGTGAAAAGTTTCAGTGTGTGCTAAGCACATTATGGGTTAAACTTAGGAAAGTGCTGCAAGTCTAATGCAACCGTAAGAATAACATGTTGAACAAAATACACACCAGGGTGGGACTGCCCCTGAGGGGTTAGTTGGGCGCCGTGCCGGGGCCCCATGGAGTAACCTGTCCTGTTGACTTTTCTCCAGGGTGGGAAGAGGGAGGAGCAGGAGCTTCAGTCGCTTGAGGATGCAGCCCACCCAGCTTTCGGGAGGAAGGCCCGGGCAGAGACCTCAAATGTTTCAGACTGTACACTTGCCGACAAAAATAAAATGATGGTTCTTTCTGGAATGTCCACAGCAGAATTTTATCTCACTTAACCTTTCCCTTCCCTCTCTCCCTAAGCCAACAATCAACATGTGTAACTTACTGAGATAGCTGAGCATAACTGTAGTCTTTTTCATATCTGTTCAGTAAATGTATCTGTCTTCTCTTTTTCCCTAAAAATGTATTTACCCAGATAACAACGCCTCATTTACTGAAAATCCTTTCACAACCATTCTAAAGGCTCCACGCATTTTATTGTGTTGTGAGTGTCAGAAGAGGGAATCGTGATGAGAGTCTGCATGTGATTCCTTTCCTTTCCTTACTTGACTAATTCAGGATATTAAAACTACTTTAGGCACTTTGACAAAAAGCCGGTCTTTATTTCCACTCAGAATAATTCTGTATGTTTAGGCAGTTTGGAACTTGTATTTATGGACATCGAATTTGGTCTTTGCTCTTTTGCAGGGGGTGGGAGGGGGTAAAAGGCCCTATATTTACCCACTGGATAAATATACCTATGGGCAAGGCACTGTTCAGTGCTTTGGTCCATGGACTTTTTAAACATCTATCTTGGCTGCTCCATAATCCCCTTGTTCATCATCCGATCTTCCCGCTGAGGTGCCGCCAGTTCTGATTCTAGAGTATTAATTTGGTAAACTAAATCATCCATAACCCAGTCGGGAAGAAAAAACAAAGCCTCTAAGTAGGAAAAAAGTCAATGCCATAAAATGCATGCACTGTAGATTTCTTCATAGGAAACCCTCTGCTCAGCCCCTACACAGTCCTAGCAAGCTTAGCTACCCAGTTCCCCAACTCACAGGCAATGAGAAAGAAAGGAGAGTACTGTGGCTTATTATTATTTTTAACAACAACATGTATGGGGTGCTACTAGTTGCTAGAAAGTGTGCTAAATCTTTTCCAAGCATTGTTTCACTAAATCTTTGCAACTCTCTAAAGTTGAATACAATTAAGAGCTCAATTTTACAGTTTCACAGACTGAGTTTTAGAAGGACTAAGTAATTTGCCAAATTTGTATGTACTTACTAGAGACAGGCATGCAGGTAGCAGATCGCAAAGGGCTCCATGACAGCCTGATTGCAAAAAGAGAAAATAAAATACAAAGGAGAAATAAATCACAAGGAGTTGGAAAGCAGAGCCACTGTTTCAGAAGGCAACATGGTGTTACAACACAGTAAAGGAACTGGTTTGTGTAAGTATGACCCCAAACCATTAAAAAATCAATTAAATTATGTTCAAAATCACTTACTTAAGAATGGAGAAAGAAGTGTAGTCCTTGCTATAAATATTTCTCTGATTTTGTTTAATTGGGAAGGTAAATATCCACTGTGTGTTTTGGATTCTCCAAGGGAAGTCTTCAGTTATCTGAAAAATTCACATAAATAGAACACGTTATTCCCTGATGGTGGTAGTATTTTTATGTGTGGTGTTTTTCTAAAGAATAAAACATTAAAAGGGAGGAAGGAAATATAACTTGATGTGCAAAATATTTTACTTTTCTTTTCAAAGCCTCTTCATTCGGCTCCGGCTAGTCCAGTCTGTCCATTTGCTGTGGTTTGGGCTTTTTGCCACCGCCAGGGTTTATCCTATTATGCTGACTAATGTGGAACTGACCATTTTTAAAGGCGACCTGGGAGCACGACTGACTTGATCTATGGTTTGAAGTGGCCGAAGACAATCCCCAACCCCACTCCTTACTGGGATTGAAACAGCTGCCCCTGAGCCTTACCTAAAACGGCCACATGGCCCATGCCCAGGGTGTGCCTGGGATTTGCCACGACAAGAGAAGGTGAGATCCTGCACCAGGTTAATCCTCAAGTGCCCAGCCCTTAGTGGATACCTGCGTGTGGCCTGGAGCCCGAGAGGCTCTAGGAAAGGCGGGAAACCCGGGCCAAGACATTCAGAAGGAGCCTGGGACCATGCACGTCTGCTACAAGTACCCTTCAACAAAGTTGGCCTCGTCCACAGTCTTATCCTATTATATGTTGCCTAGATCTGTCCATGGTAACATTTCCAAGAAAACATTGCTGGGAGGGACCCTAGGGACCGAATAGGTGGGCGGGGGAAGGGGTTGAGGGGCTGCAGGCTGCTCTCTGAGTGAGAATTAAACAAACAGCCCAGTGTGGATAGAGTGAGGGGAGGTTATATGAGACAGACATAAAAAATTAAAGTCCCAAACCACTGTGGTCATTCAGAAATGTTTGCAACTTTTCACAAGGGCAGTGGTATTACTCCCAATTTCCTGGCCAAATATTTATTAATGTAACCAAGGAGTGAGTACATGAGGCTGTCTCACATCGGCGCAGCATCCTACTTTCCTTGCGGCTCTAAACTGTGAGGTACTGTCAAAAAAACTCTTCCACACTCAAAATAGCTACGTTACAGAGGAGAGTTGGAACGTGTTCTGGGAGTGGGTGTGTTTGTTTGAGTTCAGTGTGTGCAGAAAAGGCAAGCCTCCCGGCCATTCACACACTTCCCTCCTCAGCGATGGGTACGCAGACAGCAGAGCTCCTGGACTAAGTCTCTGAATGGTAACGTACATTTACAAAGATTATTTTCTTAACTATTTTGAGCCATTTTATAAATAATATGCATGTGTCTGCTAACGCATATACACATATATATTTAGTCAACGATTGCTTGTTTTCTCCTGTGGCTGGTCTTATGCGGTTACTTATGGGGTATGATTTCTGAGGTGTCAGAAGGAGCTCCCCGCTACCTCCTACCCCAGCCACCCAAAAATATCTCTTGGGCTGGCCCACCACAGAGCCTAAAATTCCCACAGTGCTCAAATGAGTTAGTCATTGAAAGCAGCTGTTAAAATCCAAGTGTCACACTGAGAAATGAAGCAGACATTAGAAATTCAAGACTATGTACAACAGAAAAGAATATGGAGAAATTGTTTCTAATAGAATGTTAAGTTTCAAAAGGAGGATGCAAAATGACACACACGGTCTGGGTCAGTTGCTGCTTGTAAAATGTCACAGGGTCAGAGCCGGCATATAGGACCCAGCTCATAAACATGAGCCTACAGTAAAAGGAACGCAGCACTGTTCGGCAGGCTTTGTTCTGATTTCTTTTGAGTGAGTGCTTTCCACAGTTTCTGATCCTCAGATCCTACTCTCTTCACAGCGTATCACCAGATACCTCCCTTTGCTGATCCCCAGAGGCTCCTGTTAATCAACCTTGGCAGGGCCCAAAACCCCACCTCCTTGGAAAACTCAAGGAGCCTGACATCTGCCCGTGACGAGCTTTCACAGAGGCCTCACAAGAGCTCACGCAATCTCTCCTGGCAGCAAACTGCCCAAGCGAGCCCATTTCCTCAAAAGATGGTGGAGGACTTAGCAGCCTCCTATATCGCCCTCAAACTGGAGAATGAGATCCTGCAGGCTCAGGTGCAGAGGCTGATGGAGGAAAATGCTGCCCTGCAGGCCCAGATCCCCGAGCTCCAGAAGCCCCGAGCAGCGACCCAGGAGCCCGCAAAACCCTCAAAGCCCCTGGATCCCTCAGCATCCTGGGACCCCCCAGCGCCCCCAGGGTCTGAGGAGCCCCAGAAGCGCAGAGAGCCCCAGGAGCTCCCAGCCTGGGGGACCCCAGCAGCCCAGGAGCCCAAGGCGACTCCAAGGGCCCAGGAGACCCAGAAGCCCCGGGCACTTCCACCTGTCCATGGGCTCTCACCCGCCTGCGAGTCTCAAAAGCCTCCAGAGGCTAAGGAGCTCGAGAAGCCCCCGATGGCCCTGGAGAACCAAAAGCTCCTGGAAGTCAAGGAGGCCCAAGAGCCCCCTGATCCCAAGGATGCCCCGGAGGCCCAGCATTCAGGGCCCCAGGACCCCCCAAATGCCCAGGAGCCCCAGGAGACTCCAGAAGGCCAGGAGACCTCAACATACCTGGAGCCTCATGAGCATCGGGCTCCCCAGGGACCTCTGGAGTCCCTCTTGCCTCCGGAGCCCCTGGATCCTTCAGAAGCCCAGGAGCGCCTGGAGGGCCTAGTAGCTGTGGAGACATCAGCCGCTTCCAAGTTGCCACAGCCCCGCGGTGGGTTAGAGGCGGAAGCTTTCCTCTTAGAATACCCTTTAGCCTTCAACGGGAATGCCCAGAAGCTTCCTGAGTTCCTGGTTCAGTTGAATAGTTACATGAGAGTCAGAGGGCACCTGTATCCCACCGAAGCCGCCTTAGTGAGCTTTGTTGGCAACCGCTTCTCAGGCGAGGCAGGAAGGTGGTTCCAGCCCTTAGTAGATATTCAAAGCCCCCTGCTGGAGCAATTTGAAAGCTTCATGCAAGTTCTCCAGGATACATTTGACAACCCAGAAAACATGGACAATGCCAACCACCGCCTCCGTCAGCTTTGCCAGGGGGAAGACCCTGTCCAGTACGCGACCCACTTCCACCTCATCGCTCAAGTGCTAAACTGGGATCGAAGCCCTCTCTGCATCCAATTTCAGGAAGGGCTCGCTAGCTCTTTCCGAGACGAACGGTCTCACACAAGCCCAGCCACCGACCTACCTGATCCCATCAGCCAGCGTATCAGCGCAGAAGAGAAGCTAAGCGGTAAGCCTGATCTCAACGCACAAGGGGCCAGTTCCTCTGAGGAGAGAGCTGGGCCCGAGGGTCCACCAGCTGGAAACCGACCTGTGCAGGAAGCAAACAACCGCCCACACCTCAGCGAAGCTGAGCGGGCCCGCCGCCGTGTAGGCCATTTGTGCCTCTACTGCGGTCATCCTGGCCATTTTGCCAGAGATTGCCCTGTCAAGCCTCATCGTGCCCAGCAGGCGGGAAACTTCGAGGCCCGGCGGTAAGGGGGAACCCGGGCGGGCCAATCTACAAATATGCATCCCCCTCACTTCCGATATCCATGTCCCGAACCCTATGGCTTACTGTTGAAATTCGACTGGGAAGACGACAGTTCTTCGAGCAAGCAATGGTGGATTCAGGCTCCTACAGAAATAGCATCGACCATTCTGTGGTTCTTCGAGAGAAGCTGCCCATCCGCAATAACATCTTCCCTCTGATGCTCGAAACAGTAGATGGACGACCGCTGATTAATGGACCCATTACTAAGGAAACACCACCTGTCGAAGTTAAAATTGGAAACCACGTTGAAGAGCTCCAGTTTGATATTATCCATGCGCCACGATACCCTCTGATTCTTGGAATCCACTGGCTTGAAACACATGACCCAAACATAGAGTGGAGTACCCGCACGGTGTCCTTTCCATCTCGTTATTGTCACTACAATTGCTTCAGGCACAGGTGGAATAGAAGACGTCGTGATGAAATAATCGCTGGGTAGATCCTGTGTCCTAGTGACTGCTCCTGGCAACCTGTCTTCTGTTACCTCAGCTGTCATCAGCATTTGCTGCTTCCAGAAACTTCCACTGAATCTCTGGCAATGAACAAAGGCTACCTGTACAACGACCCTGCCTCTTGGATCATGGACTAAACCTGACGAATTTGAGCTGCTTTCTTTTTTTTTTTTTTTCACCAAACCTGCATGCCCCTTTCTTTGAACCCTGCCTTACTGTGGGGCTGTTTTAATTACAATTTATACTAACAATATGCATGAGACTAGATATTAGAAACTAACATGGAAAAAGTATAGTTCTTAGACTGACTTTATTTTTTTCTTATCAAGATTTTCTCTAGCACAACCATATCTTTTCAATAAAAAATAAATTTGCAAGTGATATTTTTTTAAAAATCAATAAACATTGGCAATTTCTACTGCTGTTTGAATTCTTCCTTGGCTTAGCAGAGGGAAGAGGCTGGGTCTAAGGAAGTTGGGAGGAAGCGAGGGGATTGGAAAAGCTAAATGTTTGGCTGAGGTCCTCAATATCCCAGGGGTAGTGACAGGTCACCGGGTGATGGGGCCGGGAGAGATGGAGAAAGCAGGGGAATGGCTGGGGCACAGGGAGATCCGCTGAGGCACAGAGGGGTTGGGGGAAGGGAGAGGGAAGGCTGACAAGAGGGTTTAAGGGAAATTGGTAGGAGGCTGGAAAGGGTCCAGAGCGGGGTTGGGGTTCTCAGGGCAAGGGTGAAGGGAGGGGGAAATTTCTACAAAAATGAAGAGAGAACTAACAGAGACATGGAGCAGCTTTTTTTTTTTTCAAGAACCAGGATTTTTATTTTTTAATTTTTTGAATTAAAATGTATTTTATTATATTTTCCCCATTGCCATTTATCCCCCCCCATACCCTCTTCTACTTCCGGCCACCCCCCTCCCACCCCGCAAAACCATACCACTGGCCATGCCCATGAGTTATTTCTCTCTCTTTTTTTTTCTTTTTTGCTCCATCCCTTCACTCCCCAACCCCCATCCTCTGAGCTGTCAGCCTGCTCTCTATCTATGAGTCTGTCTCTGTTTTGCTTGTTAGGTCAGTTTGTTCATATAATGCTACTTGGCCATAAAATAAAATTAAAAGTTAACCCTCTGCGACAGCATGCATGGACCTGGAGAGCATTATGCTAAGTGAAATAAGCCAGTCAGAGAAAGACAAGTACCGTATGATCTCACTCATATGTGGAAATTATTGAGCAGCTTTGAAAGCAAACTTCTTGGACTTTCTAAGTTAACCAAAAAAAAAAAGAAAGAAAGAAAAAGACACTGGCAAGGGTAATGAGACCACTCAGTGACCCAGCTATCCCATAAAGCGACAACGTCTTATTCCTTGCACCAGGAAAATGTGCCCTACAGCTCATGACTGTTCATCTGCTGTTGCCAGTGCATAGTGGTTGGATGACAGCTTTCAACATATGCAGATCATTGGTAGCCAACTGCACCTCTCGTACATAGACAGGTTGCCATACTGCTTGCATGACACATAGGAAAAGCAAGTCAAGGAAAGGAACACATGTCCTTATGGACATGAGAGAGGCTAGTGTCATGTACTGACTTAAATCTCTCTCTCTCTCTCTCTCTCTCTCTCACACACACACACACACACACACACACACACACTCTCTCTCTGCATGGTAGGAGAGATAAATGGGCTGGAATTCCCAGGTGAGATACAGGGAGTGATCAAGGCAGACTCTAATGCATTTCCTCTGTGTTTCCAACTCTCCCTTAGGAGTCTCTTTCTGAGGCCACTTGAAGGAGATCAGACAAATAATCAAATACAAGGTCATGACCCTAGAAGGAGATAGGTGAGGAGCTTGCCATTCATCGAGCCACTAGTATATTCCAGCTACAATGTCAGGCATGTTCTACACATTAATCATTTCATTGCTCCTCAGGACAACCCAGTGAAGTAGGTATGTTTGCTCCTATTTTAGCAATGAGCAAACAGAATTCCAACGAGGCTAGTTCCCTTGCTCATAGTCACAAAGCTAGTAAGCGGTGGAGGCCTATTTGGCCTCTGAAGCCTGTGCCCTTTCCCCGACATCACGCCAATGCCCCGAATGCAGTGGTGAGGGCCAGACAAGATTGTGGCAGCTGAGAGCTAACCCTCAAAATGAAGGAAAAACTCAAAAGGAAAATGGTAAGGACCATTTGGGTTGTAATTCTATTTTCCTGACCCCCTTGATCTCAATCTCAACCCCCTTACCACCTCACTTACCCCCAAACTTACCTCTTTATCTCTTGGATGATTTCCTTTTGTTTAATTGATGGCAGGACCCCCTTTCAGATTCCATGGTATTTTTTCACGAGAGTTGGAAGGCCATTCGTAGTCCGTGACCAGTAGGATCTGTGCTTTATTATCTAGCAGCACATGCATCACACCTGGGATTGTCTGCTTAGCCTCTTCAATAACCAATCTCCTGCGCTGTACACCTGAATTGATTACAAAATAATACTTAATGCAAAAATATAAAAATAAAAAATAAACAATTAACCGATCCAAACCTTATATAGCCTTAAATTCTACCTCTTCTAGTCCTTGTTGGCCTTCCCTTCCTTCTCTGAACAATCTAACATATCTTGCCGTTACACACCACCTTGTGGTATGTGGGTACCTTTCCCTACATAGATGTCCTACATCCCCCTACCCAACCCTCACACACAAACACATAGAGATACAACCTTCTAGATCCCTACCCTCGACAGCATAGCCTAACATAGGGCCTGCTGCCTAAAAGTTCTCCACAGCAACTGGTTCAATGGCAGCGAATTAGCATTACCCAGAGAGGGGTGCTTATTTGTATACTATGGGCTCTTCTTCTTTTTTCTCCCGTTCAACTGCTCATCTCTACCCTTATGAGCAAGCACTATTTGTCAATGTGGAATTCAAGAGAACAAAAGCTTTCAGCAGCTACAAAGAACATACCTTTTATTTGTCAAAATACTTGCAGCTAAGGAGACTGACTGTGCTGATTTCCCCTGAACTAACAAGACTTACAGTGCGCAGGACTTTCCGCATTGACACTGGGACAGGTCTGGGGAAACTAAGATGGCCGGTCAACCCACCTGAGCCCTACATTTTTCTATCTAGCTATAGAGATGATTTAACTATAGTGCAAGTCATCATTTCATGAAAAGAATCAATTATCTCATCACAGAATCACAAATTTTGCTAGTTTTCAAAGACTTAAGAAGTCTATTCCTTTAATTTCACAAAGGAAGGAGCTGAGGAGGCCCAGAAAAAGGAAAGCTACTTAACGTAGTGTTATCCTGATCTGGTGACTCCAAATCCAGCGCTCTTTGCACTGTAAGCCACACTTCTAAGGGTTAAAAATCAAGTATGTGGCCAGCACTGAGCTAGGTACTGTCGAGAGACACTAAAGTATAATATGAGACATTTATTTACAGCATGCTCCAAGAGAAAAATCAGCAGGCATTATAAATAATCAAATGCATGGTGGTAACAAATATGCCAAAATGAAACATTGCACAAGTTGATGACCGTAACTGTAATAACTATCATTTAAAGAGTACCTGGGTTTGCCAGTTACTGGGCCAGGTGATTCAAGTCTATTCAACGGTCTGCAAGGTAGATATTGCATAAATCAAAGAAGTGAAGCCCACTGAGGTGAGGGCGCTCGCCAAAGGTCACGCTCAAAATAAAACCTCATCGCTCTCACTCCCAAGTTGGTGTTCAATCCACTCATTCTCAGGCTGAATGGCCTTTACTGTTCATTAACTACTTTAACAATATTTATTCAACGGGCATGAGCTCTACTGCTTTAGATAAAGATATTAATTTGTTAATGCATTCATTTATTTAGACATTCCACAAACATTTACTGCGTGCCTTCCATGTGTCAGGCCCAGGCTTCGGGGAAAGAAGAAAAGAGGAGATGAAGACAGGCACAAAGATGTCTTAAGTATGATTCATGGTTCTTGCTCCAACCACTGTGTAATGGGGGAAGCTGTTGTGTAACACAGTGCAGGGGCATACAGAGGAGAGAGCGCTAATTCTCCTCTGGACTGGAAAATGGTGCTTTGAGCTGGGTCTTGAAAAAATCTCATTGGAAACAAGAGGGAGGGAGGGCAGGGCTTTACAGATTGAATGAAATGTACACACAAAAAAGAAGGTGGTAGGGAGCCCTGGCTGGTGTGGCTCAGTGGATTGAGCACTGGCCTGCAAACCAAAGGGTTGCTAGTTTGATTCCCAGTCCGGGCACATGCCTAGGTGGTGGGCCAGGTCCCCAGCTGGGGATGTGTGAGAGGCAAGCACACATGGGTGTTTCTCTCCCTCTCTTTCTTCCTCCCTTCTCCTCTCTCTAAAAATAAATAAATAAAATCTTTTTTTTTTAAAGAAGTTGGATGGGAAAATCACAGTGTCTTTAGAAAAGATAGTTGTATTTGCGCGTGCGCATGTGTGTAGGGCATGGGTGTGTATTTTCTCTCTTGCTACGAGATAATGCACATTCACTGCAACAAGGTACTGGGGTAATAGATAATAT